ACAATGCTGAGCACTTTAGAAACTTTAATTAGGATTAATAGATGCCAGCAAATGCACAGGAAAACAAGCTGAACCTGGCAAGGAATAAGAGCCTGAGACAGTGTATGATATTCAGTATGGCTGAATGTGAGAAACAGTTGACCAGGAATTTTGAAACTTGCACCTGCTTGTCTTTTTGTACATTGAACGAGTAACCAAGACATTGTAGATGATTTCTTTTGCAGAGGTTGATTTTGGATAATTATATAATATGTTGCTTATGTATTTTAATGGTTGCCATTAACTGCCGTAATTGCTATCCCTTGGTGATATTGTTGGGAAATATTAACACTCGAACAGCAATAGTAATCCTTTCTTCATCCATGAAACCTTCAAAGGTGGTATGTGACAGGTTGGATGGGATGCAGAAGAAAGGTCCAGGCTGACCCTGAATGCTCTTAGCTGAGAACAGGAAAAAGGCTATGATTTGAAGTAGGTAATAAGGTTAATTAGAGGCACCAAGAACAGCTGATGGTCAGTAGCGATGAAAGGAAAAGAATCGAGTACATTCTTCTGGTATGGAAAACAGAGTTTTCTTCCTGAATTGGAAGCTGTATTCTCCTCCGAACCTACACTGAAGCTTTCAAATGGAGATGTGAAAGCCTTAGGAGAGTTAGGTCTGATGTACTCATTTCTTATCTAATCTCATATGGCACAAAATGCAATTACATTCAAAAGAACAGGAATTTCTTGTCTTAGTGTAATGAAGAGGGTGAAAATCTGTTTATTTGCCAGTAAAGTTTATTATAAGGTGATTTGAACACGTGAAGAAGTAGGAAACATTCAAACTTCTTAAACTGGAGTGTTGTTAAGCAGTTGTTATTAAGCTATTTTTTTTTTCACTACAGAGTGGATTTTATTTCCCTATGGCCAAAAAAACACACCTCAGCCATTTCTACTTCTCCGTTCCATTCAGTAAAGTAGGAAAGGAGAAGGAGGCATGTGATAGACAGTGTGGTATTACTGTACAAGACTCTACTGCCATCGAGAGGTGTTGGGTGATATCATACCAAGTGCAGAGTTGAAGAACTGCAAAAATGAAAAAAAAAAACCAACAAACTCAGCTTGCTTTTAAAAAGTCACACATGTGGATGCATAGCAAGCTATCTGTGTGTTAAAGCACACTGAACATTTTATAGACATGCAGATTACTCACTATGTATGTATGAGGAGTTCTTGGATGACAGAGGTATTTCCCTTTCATTTTCTTCCTTTACCTCAAATAAGACTGTAAGTGCTTGTGATTAGGTCAAATGTTAAATTCTTTCAGAATAATGTAGGCCCCTTTGTGGGCCCTTACAGATAATTATCTGTGCAGTACCTCTAGGTATCTACTTCTATAAATAAGTCAGAATTGCAGTTTTGTATTTTAATCGCATGATAATAACTCAAAAATAATAGATCTGCTTTTACAGTCAGATCATTTTTCTTTAAAAAATGATTGGAAGAGGTGATAAGGAATTCAGAGTTGAGGGTATTCAAGTCTGTAACTTCAGTATAGAAAAATTTGTGTTACTGGGGTAACCAGAGTTGATAAAGTTTTTATCCCAGAATGATTTTTGTGACACTTAATGGAGAAGTCATTAAGCTTGAACAATCTGAGCTTAAACTGTGCTTATTCTGGCCCAAAAAACCAGTTTCCAAGTTCTGACCTTTGGGAGCATGTTCTAAAATTTTAAATTTTTAAGTGAGATACGCTTTCAGCTGCAAAAGTTAGCAAACAAGATAGCAACATTCTTCAACTTTTTTGGCCAAATAGAATGAATGAGCAGAGCGTTATGATGTTCTCATGATGTTTTGTCTGTGTTTTCTGTAATTGTTTATACCAGCAGCTTGAAGAGACTGGAAAAAAATAGATTGATGAGATTTCTTTCATTGCATTCACTATGCAGAAACTCAGAAAGAAGACAGAAGCCATGCTATTGTGATTCAAGCTCCTAATTTGGAGATGAGGATGTCTGGAGACTCTTACAAGTTGTGTGCATAAGCAACACTGGGCATACAGTTAACCTCAAATCCCCTTCTTGTAAAACTGGAGTCATTGCACTTCAGTCACAGGAGCACTGAGAGGAAATACCTATTAATATTTATGATACGCTTGCATACTATGATGATGAATAACACCATAGGAGTTACCAGTACTAGACAAGCAAGAAATAATTTCAGTAGTGCATATATAGTAACCATCTCTGGTTTGCTTCTCCCCCATTTTGAGAGTAAGGAGCTGCAGTTACCAGCATAGATAGTTAAATAACAGGGTGGTAAAAGGACCCCACCAGGCTCCTATACTTGTTACTGCCAGATCTGCCTCTGCACTGGTTGGTAAACTGGCCTTCCTCTCCATTGCAAAGCAGGCAGGCGGTAGAAACCCTCCTACCGAGCCCCTCTGTCAGGCATTGCCTGACTCATCGCTTTCAGTTATCCATCCTTTGATTTCTGGATCAAATTTGGAGGATGGCAAAGGTTGTTTAGGGAGTTCTGGGCTAGTATCTGGACAGTTTTGGGGAAAGACTTCGTGGGAAATTTCCGATGTCTTTCTTCAGACCTCCTTTGTAGGCAGCACAACCGGTAGTCCTAGTCTTTTTAGTAATGCCTGGTGCATGCAGCACTCAGTGTTTAAAAAACTTTAATGTAGCAAGCTTGATTGTATGAGGTGGGTAAATAATAGAATCCTCATTTTTCAAGTAGCTAGCTGAAGTAAAAGTCTTGTGTGATTTACCCAGAGCCACAAACATGTAATGCTGCAAACATCGAAGCGGTCAGGTTGGACATGCAAGCATAAATATTTATATGTACTAGCACTAGAAGTACTTTCTGTTTGTTTGAGTTCAGAAATTATTTGCCTTTATTCTCCTTTAAAATCAGATATATGTTTCTGTTTCCTTTCTCTAAATGTAGCATTCACTTATAAACGTTTTTATAGATTTTTAAATTACTCAGTGTTTTGGTGCATTATTAATCCTATGGTAAACTTAATTTTGTTGTCATCTTTTAAATTTTGATATGATTTTCCCATAGTGAAAATTAAAGGAACACTTCCTGTAGAGTCATCGCACAATGAACTGCAAGAGTATCATGCTGAGAGGAAGTAGTTTGTTTGTGCTAACATAGATCAGTTGGTGTGAATTCTTAAGTAGTGTTTTAGAGGAGGGCTGTGGTGTAGCAAACTTGCAAATGAATGTTATCATCTGCAACAAGGATTTTATCCTTCTAAGAAGAAAATATGTGTGATGACATGTGCAAACACTTAATATTTCTAATACATAGACTGAAATGTTTCTTATATAGGAATTTCTAATTAACTATAAGGACCTTTCAAGGATCTTTTTTTTGAGACTTTGCAAGATGAGTAGACAAGTAAAAGAAACAGTTTTTACTTTTGAATGCTCACTTAACGTGTTTTGGTTCTATGTGCAAAACTGAAGTCAGCCTATGTGCCAAATAATTTATCAGTCTAATTTCTGATGGCAACAAGAGTAGCAGTTTTATGTGTACCAGGATTCTGGTTTGGTAAAAGCAGTTAAATTAAATTATGCCAATTTGAAAGTCAAAACCAGTTGAGTTACACAAGAGCATGCTTTTTCTGGTCAAAATAGGAAACATTTGGGATATTTTGGGGGTTATGTAAAGACTTTAATTTGTAACCACACTGTGTATGCTCAGTTTAAGTGGCAGACAAGAATAGTTGTTCGTGCGATTTGCCATTTCTTCAGCACATTATTTAAACCATATTACTGCACATATTTTTTATTTTGAATGATAGTTAATCTGAGCTATGATTAATTCTTTTAACATTTAGATAATTTAAAAAAGATGTGCTCATAATGTTCGCATACTAGACATGGCAAGATGCAAGTGCTTTTAAATGCAGCTTTATCTTCTAGAAAAAAATAGTCCTTGTTTTGCTGTGGGGAGGGTGTGGGTTGTCCTTTGTGTAGTCTGTGTGATTTCCAAACCCAGAGAAGGGCAGAGCTGTTAGGCCCCATCATTAAGAAATGAACAGAAGTTAGAATGACACTCTGTTGAATTTGGGCCAGGTGGAGTTTGAGTGAGTATTTTTTGAATACACTTAAGTATACAAAAGGTGTTACTTTTTTTTTCTTGTTTCAGATTTCTACCTCGCTATCTGTCAGGGCAGCAGAAAGGTTATGTCCTGCAGTACATGTTGTGAATGAGATGAACTTTACTAGAGCAAGCAGGGAGTTGAAAATTCTTGCCACTGTTTTGTGTTAAAGCTAACTTTCAAAATCAGTTGAGCGATGTCTTCCCAACAGATGGAGACTGACATGTTAAAAACATTCGGCAGTTCTTGATTAACGGCATCTTTCAATCTGTAGAGCTTCTTTATTACCTGGTGCACAAAGAATGATGTGGAGCTCAGACTCTTGAACCACACAGTATTTAATGGCACTGAAACTGGTAGTTCAGTGAGGTTTTAAAAAGGCAAAAGGTATCTGCAGTTCAGTCTTTGGAATCCATGTGTTCTTTGTCTTACGAACTCATGCCAAAATTGAAAAAGCTTCTGCCGGGCTTTTATTCTTCAATAGTATGTTTTCACTTTTTAAGTACTGGCATGCACATCTCCGTTTCTTTACTTGGTTACTAATTTTTCCTTTCACTTCATGACTTGCTTTACAAGGTTCTTGGCTTGTCGGTATTGCACAGATTTGTGTTGGTGAATGTATTCTTGCAGCAAGAATAGAGCTGGTGTCTGTCTGTCCGATGTACTGCAGTGTCCTGCAGTGCCTGACCTGCTTCGTCTCTGCTTTTCCTGACCACTCGTCTCATGGGGCGGATAGGTTTCTTACCTTCTGAGCTGCAGTTTATTGACTAATAACTGTGGTCTGCTAATAACTTAACTGACTGCAGCAGCATTGAAAATGTCTTCTCGTGAATGTATCAGGATGTGCACTGCAAAGGATGTAACGAGTCAATGTACTGCCTTCCACTTCTAATTTCAGGCTGGAGGTTCTCAAGTGATCTTTACCAATCCACTGGAAATTGTCAAGATTCGATTACAGGTGGCTGGAGAAATTACTACTGGTCCACGAGTTAGTGCCCTCACTGTATTACGGGACTTAGGCTTCTTTGGTCTCTACAAGGTACATTTTTTTATATATACATGAATTAAAAGCCAGTTTTGAATGTTTCTAAACAAAAGAGCATTTTATTTTTCTCGCAGACTTTCCTGGGTGGACATATTTGTACTTTAAAAAAAATTCTTCCTTACTATGTGATGTTGTATCTTATTTTTTTATTTCTAATTAAGGGAAGAAACTGTCTTGTGTTTTTAAGCATGTGGTTCTTGCGGATCTTACTAAGATTTCTTTTGTCACTTCAGCAGGTGTAAGTATTGTTCACTGAGGATTGCTTTGTGATTCCTGATGCCTGGTGTTAAAAATAAACTTATTTTCATCTGCTTCATGATACAGAGATTATAGCTTTGGAGCTGTGCTTTTGCTCTTCTGTGTTTGATTCAGCAACTTTCCCAGATGTCATTGTTAATCTGGTGATGGGAATTAATTGCAGCACAGTAATAGTGGAGAAATACAGACAGTGGGAACCCAGCATAAAAATAAACTACTAAAGCAAGCTTCCCCTTGCTAGTTTAGAAGAACATTGCCACAAATAATATCAGGAAAAGTGCTTTTATGATTGTATACTACAGACTTTAAAATTCTGCTTTATACATTACTGTCCTCACATATATACATAAATTATAAAGTTAGGTTTAATGTTAGACTGCAGCAGGATTAGAAGCATCTTCTGTTGAATCCAATAGGATTGTATGCTGCAAATAATTTCAAGGATTAACATTCTGCCTTGTAGTTTTAGATGAAGGGGACTAGATCTGGAGGAGTATGAAAGGTCTTGGAGTACTTTGAGACAGCCATTACCACATTATTGAAACAAAACCTGTAATGAATGCTGTATGCTACAGAGCACAGTGTGGTGTTTCTTCAGGTTCTGCAGCCTACATCTCAGGAGAAAGCTCTCACCCTCCCCGTTTGCTCCAGTATTTCTAGTGCAGCAGGCAGTATTCCTGTGTTTCTTATTTACGCTGTAAACTGAAGATGCTTCAAAAACCACCAAATAAGCCCCATCCCCCTTCTCCTCAATATTTAAATTCCATCTCCATTTTTAAGCATCCAGTCCTTTTAAATTTTTCTGTTAACATGACAAAGAGGAAGCCTGCCCCAGAGTAGATGTATGTGTGTTTTGGCCTGGAGAGAAGTTGCAGGTTTGAATAGGATGTTTTTCCCTTTAAATTGACTTGCTAATTTTTTAGGTGTTTTACTAAAGCTGATGCTATTGTGTAAACTCCTAGTTAATGGCATTATGGTGTTGATCAGGTCAGCATTTACAACTGAAAACATGGATATGCTAAACAGTGTGCATCCCTGAGGCTGTGCAGAAATGGAGGATTGCTACTGACTTTTACTTGGACTACTAAAAATAAAACATAAAATGAGAGAGTGATGAACTAGTTTACTAAAGTTAGCATTTTTTAGATTTTTTTTTCCTCAATACCTGCTCTTGGTGGCTGAGCAGTTTGCTACATTTTTCCATTTTTCAATGGCATTAACGTCTTGGGCCATACTATGAATTATTTCCGTTTTCTAGAGTAGATCCTTGGTGAATATTTGTGAAGAGTGCACCTGGACAGGAGCTGGTTACAGCACTGTGTTGCATGGAAACAGGCAGTTATTTAATCACAAGCTACACAGTTCCGATGGTTCATTCATTTAAGTCCATTTACTTCCACACACACAAAAAAAAAGCCGCAGAAGGGTTTTGTTTTTACACTTCTGTTCTCTCTGTCTCTGTCTGTCTCCACCCCTCCAGCCCACTCCTTGTGTTCATGTCCTTTTGTATGTCCAGTTTGGATTCACTGCCTACAAAAACATGACTGATTTGACACAAGTAGAGATTTTAATCTGGCAATCGCAGTCACTCACCCAGCAGAGCCCAGGCCACATCAGTGTCCAGGTGCACCCTTAGGCACTGCCAGCTCTGTCATTGGGCAGGTTTGTGCTGTTGTCCACCAAACACTTTGGCACTGTAACAAAAAAAAAAAAAAGGCGATCCTACCTGCCCCCTCTCCCGTATACCAGCAAGAGTGCTGGTGCAGCCACATAATGATCTGGAACAGGAAACTCATTAAAACTAAAGCCTCCTCCTAATGGCTTAGTTTATTTTGAACCCAGACCAGCTCGCTCTGTAGCTCCTGATGATGGTTGTACCCAGGCGAAGACAGGAGTGGCTTCATGGCACAGAGAGCCTGTCAATCTGTATCTCAGGAGTTTTATACCGCCTGGAGGTGCTTGTGGAACAGCAGTGTTAGAGGCAAAAGCTGTCCTCATGAATGCTTGTGCTGGAGCTGGCAGTGCTGGTGAGGTCAGGCAGGGATTAGTAAACTCATTACGTGTAAGTCACCAGCCCCAGAAAATGCTGCCCAGAGGCATTAATGACGTAAACTGGATTTCAGCTGAGACTGGATTTGGTAGGTGCTACCTTCTCTGGTGGTGCTTCTAGTAAGTTCATTTAGTGAGTATAATGACCAAATGAACATCAAATAATAATTCTACTAATGAGAAGTGGAATATCACGGTACATTTGGAATGCTTGTACTCTTAATGAGTCAAATTAGCTCTAAAATTATAAAACAGAAATAAGAATTTTGTATCTATTTCAGCACTTTTCGTGCTGTTCACTCTGACTGGAACAACTCTTCCATTTGCAGCTTAACTCTTTCTTTTAGCTTTGTCTTTTGTGTCTCAAGACACAGGGCTTCTATCCTAAGTCCTGAATGTACTTCTTTTAGTAGATCGAAGTAAGGCTCCATACATACTGCTGCAGAACGACAAGAATAGATACTTGTTTTAGAAAAGAGTTTTATCTGTGAATCTTGGAGTTTGTTTAGAGGCTTGATTGGCCTTTATCTCAGCCATGATTTAGGACCAACTAATTAACTTTCTTTTGCAAGTGTTTAAAGCAAAATTCTTTACATTTCATTTGAAAGAAATCGATGTATTTTTTTCCTAATTTTTTTTTAATGTTTACCCATTCAAAGTTTACATGTAATGTTTAATTTCATAGTTGATAACAAATGTTTTTGCTTTATTTTTTCTGTTTGGTGTGGCCTGAATTTTTTTCTATTGTTTTGTTGGGGATTTTTTGTGGCCAAAAGGAAGCAAAACTAACAAAAATTAAATACTCCATTGGTTTTGTTTCAAGGCCATAATGTTCCTCCTTTTCCACTTGACTTGTAAGAAATTCTTGTAAAACTTCTCTAAGAAGGGTTGACTCCTAAGAAGGAGTTTTTTACAGCAGTTTCCAGCACTGACCACCCAAATAATTCACTTCTGATCTCTGGATTAATGGACACCAAGTGCCTGTAGTGCTGTGTCTTTGGAAAAGGTGAAGGTGGCCTCTGTCTAGATGAGACCGAGCAGGGCAGGATAGTATGAGAAGCTGTACAGAGGTACAGGTTACTCTGCTGCTTACAGAATTTCCTTGAAATCTGCCAGCAGTGGAGAAAATAGGCTTGTTAAAGACATAGAGTAAATGGAGGGATATCACATATTTAACAGGAAGTTGGAGCCCAGCAGACATAACGTTAACTTGAAACTAACAGTACCATAATGATAATTTTTCAAAATAGGAGCACGGATATTTTTAAGCAGGTTTTGTTTTTGACATAGATGAGAACATTACCAGTTAGTCTGCAAGCTCACGGTAGAGGTAAAGGGTTTCCATTGCTCCTCAATGTGAGTTTACTTCTGTGTTGGTAAGTTACAAACCTCTTCAATCAGGACTGGTCATCCAGTCTGCTGCACACTGGCTTTTCTGTGTCTCTTGCCCCACTTGGGTGCTGTTTTGTTTACCACATTGCAAGGACTGCAGTGAAAATTCTCTTTTTTCAGTTCAGAAATAAATGATATTGAAAGCTGTTCTTACCACTGTAGATCAGTGTGGTACGCACTGCTTAGTTCCTATGAATCTTTTATGCTGAAATTCAGGTGAATATCTATAGGAGTCCCATGTAGTAGTCAGCGAGGAAGAATGTGCTTTCATGTGTTATAACTGCAGCCAGAAGATGCGAAGAATTACGTATGTAGGTCTTAGCTTAATGAGGCAAATTCCTGCATGTCTTAACAAGATCTTGTGCTTCTTGTTTGTATTAATTTCTACCTATGAAGTGCTTTTTGTGGATTTTAAAATAAAATGCCTGCACACTCCGATACAGGTAATGTCAGTGTTCCTGTCTTGCATTAACAGAGAAAACGCAGGCACAGGCAAATAAATCTTATGTCTCATGTCAACAAATTAGCGAAGGAAATGCTATGTAAACCCTTTCTGCATCCAGCTGAGTGAATCTTGTGTTGATTACGATTGTAATTGTCCCAGCACTCTAGTCCAAATGAATAGCCATTTGAGGGTGACAGAGGAGCTGGGTTGCATAGTTTGATGCCTCTCTACTCTCTAGTGAGTGTTCTTTTGGGTCATTCTGCTATACTGTTGTCTGAGTACTACTGTAAACTGGTTTTTGTCAATAGCTCTGTGCTCCACTCTGTTTGCAGACTTGGTGCTAGAATCAGAATAATTGGTGTTGAAAGCCGGTCTGAAGGTCATCTGAGCAACCCGACCCAGTATTTGACCAACTTCATGGTTTAAAACAAACAAATCAACAAACAAAACCAAAACCCCCTCACCTTTTTCCAAATGCTTAATTGGAATTGGCCATGTTCCAGCTTCTGCCCGTTGCCTCTAATCCTTCCACTGTGCACCTCCAAGAAGTGTTATCTTCCTTTCACCCTCTTTTCAAGTAGTTGAAGAGAGCAAGAAGGTCTCCTCCTGCCTGCTTTTCTTTGAGTTGAGCACACTGAGTTGCCTTGGCCTCTCCTCATATACCGTGGGCTACCCAGCCAGCTTGATGGCCTTGCACTGGGCTCGCTCACAGCTTGTAGTTTCCCAGATCTTCCTTCCTGCTCTGCTTCAAGATAGGTGTGGTGTTTGTCTTTTTCCAGTCATCAGAACCTCCTTGACTAACTTGACCCTTTGAAGGTAGTAACAGCCTCACAGCATCAGGCAGCTGTCT